CCCAAAATGCCGACGTTTCCGCTTCTATCTTTTTAGAGGTTAGGAATTGTTGCTAAAACCGACCAGCTACTATATTAACTTATATTATATAACTATACCTACTGTTATTGGGACGTTCAACCGAAACGGTCCAAATAATAATTCTAACACTTTGAACTTGGAAATTGGCAAGAATTCATCAAAGTTTGGGTTTTGACGTTAAATAATTGGGTCTGAASRCTGTAGRTGAAAAATAACTCACGAAACGTTMTCTGGAAATGGTTCTTTTTCCCCTCTTCTCCTATTTTCTATCGCTTGACAGTGTCTTAAAGTTTACCGTTTGCTTCTTTGAGCTTCTAGCTCTTTAGGGRTTCGAAAATTCTGACAAAACTTCCCAAAGCGCTAGCAAAAAAGTCCTTATGACTGATCGGATATTTGCAACCGTTTCTGATTTTARGGTGTTTTAACCGTTAAAAGCCCCACATTGTCTTAAGTTTGGCCTCTAACGCTTTGCTAGTTAGGAGTTTGAAATACTGCTCAAAAACTGGTCTGYAGACTTTCCATTGAGAAGTTGCCAACTGCTCATTGAATGGTTCTGTGCATGGGAGTCSTGGTATTTTGGCTTTTCGACCTTTAGAGGTTAGAATRAGTAGCAGATTTTCCGGAAGGACTTTCCAGTTTCAGACACTTAGAGAGTGTTTGAAGGCTCCCTGCTCTCAAAATTTAAATATTTTTGATGATGATCTGTTTAGAGGTTAGGAAACTCTGATGAATTTTCAGACCTGTTGTGAAAAATTACTAACGGCTATCTGGATATTTGCAACTGTTTCTGAGATGCAGGGTGTTTTAAGCGGTGAGAGCCTCTAATTAATTTTTTATTTTGGCTTCTATCGTTTTGCTGGTTAGGAATTTTCAGTACCACCTAGAAACAGTTCTCGAAACGGCCTATCAAAAAACTGAGGAATGGTTTGGGCATATGTACTTTAGGAAAATGATAATAGTTTATGCCCTGAGAGTCAGGGACTTTTTGTTGATATTTTGACTTTTATCTCCTTAGAGGTCAGGAATATTTGATAAAACCCAATATGTAAACAAAAGCCCTTGAGCCTCTCGATTAAAATGGTTATTCAAGCTAATGCGATATCTTCAGCCATTTCGGAGATATCAGGAGTGTTAAACTGCAAAGGCCCGAAGAAACTGCCCAAATTTCAGGAGATTGTTTGAGGCTCTAAACGGCTCCTTACGCACATGTAGACAGCAAATTCGCATTTAACTGTTAAGGAAGTGAAACAATCAATGACTCTTGCCGGTCATAGTTGCTTCGCGATCGCAACTCCCGGAAAAGTTACCCGATCATCCCCCATATATTAAGCACTGACGGTCGGAGACCCTCATGACTACTTATAGATATTTTGGCTTCTATCTCTTTAGAGGTTAGGAATATCTGATAGAGCTCAATATGTAAACTAAAGCCCTTGAGCCTCTCGATTAAAATGGTTATTCAAGCTGATGCGATATCTTCAGCCATTCCGGAGATATCAGGAGTGGAAAACTGCAAAGGCCCGAAGAAACTGCCCAAATGTCACGAGCTTCTTTGGGGCTCTAAACGGCTCCTTACAGACATGTTGACAGCAAATTCGCATTTAACTGTCAAGGAAGTGAAACAATCAATGACTTTTCCAGTTCGTGTTTGCTTGGCGATCGCAACTCCCGGAAAAGTTACCCGATCATCCCTCATATATTAAGCACTGACGGTCGGAGACCCTCATGGCCACTTATAGATATTTTGGCTTCTATCTCTTTAGAGGTTAGGAATATCTGATAGAGCTCAATATGTAAACTAAAGCCCTTGAGCCTCTCCATCAAAATGGTTATTTAAGCTGATGGGATATCTTCAGCCATTCCGGAGATATCAGGAGTGGAAAACTGCAAAGGCCCGAAGAAACTGCCCAAATGTCAGGAGCTTCTTTGAGGCTCTAAACGGCTCCTTACAGACATGTAGACAGCAAATTCGCATTTAACTGTCAAGGAAGTGAAACAATCAATGACTCTTCCAGTTCGTGGTTGCTTCGCGATCGCAACTCCCGGAAAAATTACCCGATCATCTCCCATATATTAAGCACTGACGGTCGGAGACCCTCATGACCACTTATAGATATTTTGGCTTCTATCTCTTTAGAGGTTAGGAATATCTGATAGAGCTCAATATGTAAACTAAAGCCCTCGAGCCTCTCGATCAAAATGGTTATTTAAGCTGATGCGATATCTTCAGCCATTCCGGAGATATCAGGAGTGGAAAACTGCAAAGGCCCGAAGAAACTGCCCGAACTTCAGGAGTTTCTTAGGGGCTCTAAACGGCTCCTTACAGACATGTAGATAGAAAATTTGTATCTAACTGTTAAAGAAGTGAAACAATCAATGACTCTTCCAGGTCATGGTTGCTTCGCGAAAGCAATTCCCGGAAAAATTACCCGATCATCTTCCATATATTAAGCACTGACGGTCGGAGACCCTCATGGCCACTTATAGATATTTTGGCTTCTATCTCTTTAGAGGTTAGGAATATCTGATAAAGCTCAATATGTAAACTAAAGCCCTTGAGCCTCTCGATCAAAATGGTTATTTAAGCTGATGCGATATCTTCAGCCATTCCGGAGATATCAGGAGTGGAACACATCAAAGACCTTCAAAATTTCAGGAGCTTTTTTGAGGCTCCAAACGGCTCCTTACACACATTTAGACAGCAAATTCGCCTTTAACTGTTTAGGAACTGAAACAATCGATCTCTCTTCCAGGTCATGGTTGCTTCGCAACAGCAACTCCCGGGATAATACCCTGATCATCTCCTATATATTCGAGGGCCGGTTTTACCATAAGAACATCTCAGCTGCTCCCTACGTCGACCAATCGAGCCAATCGGGCAGAGATCGCATTTACGTTGCCACCCTCGACCACATACTGGCTTTCTACGATGTTCACAGTCTCTTAGAGTTCTACAGACTCAATACTGGGGAGGAGTTGGCGTGCATGTGAGTAGTTGATCTACACCCACACTGGTAATGTTATATATATAATAAACCTTCTTTAGGCTCGGTACAAGTGTGAAGAATCCAAACCAGCCCAATAGCAGCCCGGCCAGATCCCAGGTACCCGTTAGGAGAGATGATGACACGCGTGTGGGCACGCAGAGGCCGTTTACAAGGTCCCAACAGATGTTGGCTGACCAATTTTCTGAAACTCCTAAACTTGCGGGAACAAGCGTTCAACTTCCGGGAACAAGCGCTCAAGTTCCGGGAACAAGCACTCAACTTCCGGGAACAAGCACTCAACTTCCTGGAACAAGCACTCAACTTCCGGGAACAAGCACTCAACTTCCGGGAACAAGCATTCATCTTCCGGGAACAAGCACTCAACTTCCGGGCACAAGCGTTCAATTTACGGGAACAAGCGTTCAACTTCCGGGAACAAGCACTGGAGGATCTGCCGATTTGGTTTCATCGCCAGAAGAGAGAGCTGCTTCAAGTGACGAAGTCAGCACTGATGCAGCAGCAGAATCGCTTAATTTAGATCCAGTCGAGGAACCGTTGCCGGAAGCCAATTAGCTTGTCCACCGTAAGTTGCGTAGTTAGGCCATGTTTTGAGTGGCTCTCCTTCGAATGTTGTCACTAAATTGGGCAAAACTGCCAAGAAATCCGCTAATTTTGCCAACGTGATATTGCTTTGTGATAAGTGTTCTACTCTATGTGATCCCGCTTTGAATAGGAACGGTTGAAGCCAAAGACACGAGGAAGTCGCTTAAAATGTGGCCTAACAATGCCGGAGTTTTTGCGAACAGGTTCATTTAAGCGAAAATTGCTTCCTCCAGTATAAACGAATTTATTATTTGTAGGTTTCCCAGGCGCATTATATTCATAAATTATTATTATTATTCTTATTATTAGGGGGGGTGTTTGAATAGTTTATTGGAGACCAAACCCCCGTAATGGTCTCAGGATTGCATCCCGATGCGACATTCGAATTGTATTAATTATCCAATTTAACTCTTTTAACTTTAAGGACTTTGTGATCGATCGGAAATGTTTGCATGTGTAGGCGTGGTGTGTTTCTTTCAGTATTAATATGATTTCAATGTACAGGGTGAACTAGAATAGGATTAGCAACTAGAGCAGGTCGAATATCCGACTAAAGCGCTGGGTGTTGGTTTCCGGATGATTCGTTTACTCGAAATATTTACCAAATGTCCAAAAAACATTATCACACCTTTTCAATACACTTAGGCTAAGTTTATGTAATCTACGATAGGCAATCAGCAAATATTAGAAGCAATACTTAACACATTTTGCGAGGTTTGAGTAATAGGAGATAAATAGGCGCGATTTAGTAGCCGTCGTTACTCATTCCTCCCCGAAAATTCCCTATATGAGTAGCATGTGATATTTTACTTTTAAGAATAGTATTTTCAGCTAAATAGCGTCGTAGTACAAAATCAGTACAGTGATAGATACGTGTGTTTAATTCTTCGGTGTTTTCTATATGAAATTGTTAAGGGAGAAATGGGACTGTTTGCAACAGCTTCTTAAACTGGACGCTCTAAAGCCGTTCATTTTCCTACATCTGCATAACGCATATTTTTGTAAACGTTTTTCTACGTCAATCCGTGCGATTGGACCCGAATGAAACGAAAATCTGTGAAATTCTCTACCCGTTTTCCACGCGGTAATTTTGCATGCATTTCAACGCTTTACTCAAATATGCTTCTTTTACATTTCGGGGCTTTTTGAAATTTTACATCAACCAAACAGCGGGAAAACAAAACAAAAATGCGCACATTAAGGTATTCCCTGAATTTCCATGTATATATCTCTATATTCTAAGTACGAATACGCTTTTCTTTTTTACACATTTGTTAGCTTTTTATACAATAATTCATTTATCGACTAAGGCGCATAACCAGGAACAGTAGCTCTAGGTGCATATATTAACTACAAATTAATTTCCCGCCGGTATATTACGTATTTTTTGTATTTAATAAGTAGAATGGATTAATAAAAAAAAATCTCCACAAAAAATGTTTGTTTCCTGACTTTTATTTCAAACACTCTGTAGATTCTGTATCAGATTCCGATACAGAGAGATTTGTCTGACTTATCGTGTGAGTTTGGTTCCATTCGAACAAAAGGTGCCTTCATAACGAATTTTTTACTTTTGGGTAGTTCTTGGTTAGACACGAAGCTCTTCTGAAGAAGGTTTCTGAACAATCGATAGAGACATCGGAACATGGGTTACCGCTCTCGATAAAGGAAACCTTAGCTAAGGTTCGTCGAGCGAATTTGGTTCCATTCGGACAAATGCTTCCTTCATATGGTGTTTTTAAAGTTTCGTTCCTTTTGATGCGTTTTTTTCATTTTTGATCTTTTGAAGCTTGTTGCTCAACAACAAGTTGTGATATTGAAACCAAAGCTTCTGATCCCGATAAAAAGAGCTTCGCCATACATGTGGTGTGAATTTTGCTCCATTCGAACAAATGGTTTCTTCATAATGGATTTCTTCTGAGTCGAGTTATGTGACTCAGGGTTTTAGCAACATTCGGCAACTAAATTGTTATTTAATATAGGGCGAGAATTTCGTTCCATTTGAACATATGGTGTCTTCTTTACAAATTTTTAAACTGGAAGGTTTTAATGCGATTTCTTAATTTTTTGCACCATGCCCTTCTGAAGCCGGTTGCTGAACAACCAGTAGAGGTAGCGGCATAAAGCGTTCAGTTCTGGGTCAAGAGAGCTTTTCTTGGCGTGTGGCGCAAAGTTGGTTTTATTCCAATCAATCGTTCCTTCATAATTCATTTTTAAACTCTGAAAGGTTTTAATACGTTTTTTATGTTTTTTTTGCGGYATGCTCTTCTGAAGCCGGTTTCTGAGCAACCAGTGAAGATAGCAGAATAGCGGTTACTGGTCGGAATAAGAAAGTATTTGCTTTGCATGTGGTGTAAATTTGGTTTCATTCGAACATACGGTTCCTTCATAATGAATTTTCAAACTATCAAAAGCGCTGTGCGGTTTTTTGCTTATTCACCGATGCTATTCTGTCGCAGATTTTTGAGTTCTGAGTTCAGTTATGTGAGTCAGAGTTTTAGCACTCGGTTATTAAATTGTTATTTAATATAGGACGAGAATTTCGTTCCATTTGAACGGATGGTGCCTTCTTTACAAATTTTTAAACTGGAAGGTTTTGATGGGTTTTCTTCGATTTTTACGCCATGCCCTTCTGAAGCCGGTTACTGAACAACCAGTAGAGGTAGCGGAATAAGGCTTCCAGTTCTGGATAAAAAGAGCTTTTACTTGCGTGTGGTACGAATTTCGTTTTATCTAAATCAATGGTTCCTCCAGAATTAATTTTTTAACTCTGGAAGATTTTGACGCGTTTTGTATTTTTTTTATGGCGTGCTCTTCTGAAGCTGGTTTCTGAGCAACCAGTGAAAATAGCAGAATATCGGTTCCTGGTCTGGATAAAAAGGTATTTGCTTTGCATGTGGTGTAAATTTGGTTTCATTCGAACATACGGTTCCTTCGTAATGAATTTTCAAACTATCAAAAGCGTTGGGCGGTTTTTTGTTTATTCACTGATGCTATTCTGTAGCAGGTTTCTGAGTTCTGAGTTCAGTTATGTGAGTCAGAGTTTTAGCACTCGGTTATTAAATTGTTATTTAATACAGGACGAGAATTTGGTTCCATTTGAACGTTTCTTCTTAATGAATTTTTAAAATTTGGATGGTTTTAATGCATTTTTTAATTTTTTTTATGCCATGCTCTTCTGAAGCCGGTTTCTGTACAACCCGCTGAGATAGCGGAATAAGGGTTTCCGCTTTGAATAAAGAGAGCTTTTATTTGCGTGTGATGCAAATGTAGTTTTATTCAAATAAATAGTTGCTTAATAATTAATTTTCAAACTGTAGAAGGTTCTGATGCGTTTTTAATTTTTTTTTGCGCTATGTTCTTCTGAAGCTGCATTCTGAGCAACCAGTGGAGATAGCGAAATAAGGGTTCAGTTTAGTCTTGATAAAGAGAGCTTTGGTTTGCGTGGGACCCAAATTTGGTTTTATTCAAATAAATTGTAAGTAAGTAAGTAAGTAAAGTAAAAACTGGTCAAAAATGGCATTTTCCTAGTCAATTGATTATCTATAAGGAAGCCAATTTTTAACTTCCAACTTTATCTTGGGCAAAATCCTTCTTAACTAAAGGCTTTTGCCTTCCGTCACCACGCCCTATGGCCTTTCAGTCAAACCGGCAACATCAGAAACCCCAAAAACACTGACAGCTGCTTAACCCTGTGGCTTAACCTATAAAGCTGACGAGTGGGTGACGTTGTACACGTCCACTTTTATTGTATTCAAGAGGTTTTTTGCTTGCAGAATATAAAAACCTTTGAAATATGTGGAAATTTGTGGCGGTTTTCGCGGTGTTTTCCATGGCAAACGGCCTGGAACACATCGATGACAGTTTAATTAATAAGAACGTTCAGAGAACTATCGATTTGAATTCGCAACTTGTAAAGATCGGCGGCACTATCACGATAGAGAACACCGGCGAAGGAAGCGTTGCCTCTTATTTACTTGCAATAGAAGATCCTGATTCCTTCAGCTCTATTACTGTACAGGACTCGCAGAAGAATCCCCTGAAAATCGAGCAGTTCCGAGCGAGATTCCAAGGTAGTTTAACGGCAATAAACCGCTGCCCAGTAGGGCTAATTATGGTGCTTTGCAGGTCCCGAGCGAATTGCATTCAAAGTCCATCTGCGGCCAAGTTTGGAACCAGGCAAAACCACCACGATAATCTTCGAATCGTTTTTCACCAACAGTTTGAAATTCTGCCCGAAGTGCGTCACGCAGAAGGAGAAACAGCTGGTGAAATATGAGGGAAATTACTACTTCTACTCGCCCTATGTGACGAAAACGCAAAAAACCGATGTTCTGGTAAGCGCAGTTCAAGCTACGAACAAGAACAGTTGTAGAAATGCTGCTTGCAGGTAAACTCTCGAGTGGTGGAAAAGTACTCGAAACTGAAGCCTGTTAGTCAAACAGACTCCACTATCACCTATGGACCTTATACGGATATTGAGCAGTTTGCAAGGGATTCTTTAAGCGTTCACTATGAAAACAATGGTCCATTCCTATCAGTTTCCAGGTAAAATGCACTGTTTATATGCAAAAACCTATGTTTGACTGTCTTCAGTAAATTATTAACAATTACTGAGGACTTGATGATGCCCCCAGGCCCAAAAGCAACGAAATTTGCACATTTAGAGGCCCAAATGCTTATTAGCTTCTTCTTCTTTCAGACCAGTAGGAGGTTTTTCCAACTCCAAAGTTTCTATTTCTTCAAAGCATTTAATTGTTCCGGGAATTGAAGAAAATGGAAATTTTCAGCTGAACTCCTTTTTCTTTCCCTTTTCAACCACTGATAATCTAAAGTTTCTTAAATAATCGCTCCAAAGTTGAGCGCCACAAAAATTGGCAATTTTTAAGCATGCCGATGCTCTATGGGGCGCCAATTTGAAACTTAGAAGCAGAATAACCGGAGAAGTCTGCTGAATGTTGAGTCTCTTGTATATGTACGCGTGTAAAACGTTTTTGAGCGTTCAAAATTGGATTGAAAGACAAAAACTACCATTCTGAAGGGAGAAAAAAAGGCAAAAGTGCTAGCCTCTAAGCCCCTCAAATTCTTCAATTTTCCATCCGATTCGGTCACTATTAAACATCCCATAATTGTCTTTTTAAACTCTAATGGCGAGCACTGTCATTGATCAGATCTGAGCTGATTTCTTCTGATGCTTCTCAGATTGCAGCGCACTATTGAAGTATCGCATTGGGGCAACATTGCAATTGAAGAAAATATTGATCTCAAACACACGGGGGCTCTGTTAAAGGGCTCGTTCTCCCGATACGACTACCAAAGGGACACAGTTGCCAACCATCACAGCATCAGAAGCTACGTTACTGTTCTACCAGCGCTGGCGCACAGTATCTACTACCGGTAAGCATGACAATAGCTTGTAGCTGGATTTTTCGGTTAATTCGAGCGTTTGTAGGGACATGAACGGCAACATTTCCACCTCTAATGTGAGGACTCACAAGGATTACATTGAGGTTGAGCTGAAGCCCAGATTTCCGTTGTTTGGAGGTTGGCGCAGCTCGTACACTTTGGGTAATTGATCCCACAACGTCTATGTGGTTTGGTCTATAGAAGTTGTTTTTTTTGCAGGTTACAGCGTTCCTAGTTCCCGCTACTTGTTCCGGAAGCCTTCAGGCGAATTTTTGCTGAAAGTGCGCCTGATTGATCATGTTTTCGATGATATGGCAGTTGAGGACCTGGAAACAGACATTGTGCTGCCAGTCGGGGTAACGGATATTAAAGTGAAGGCGCCCTATGAAGTAAAGCGGTTAGATGATAAAGTCGCCTACAAGTACCTGGATACTATTGGAAGGCACGTGGTTTAGTCCGCCGGACTGGCACTGTTTAGTTATTAATAAATTTTGCTTTACAGGACTGTAATCAGGCTGTCCAAGCAGAACCTAGTGGAGCAGCACATCCAAGACGTGGAGATCAGCTACAATTGGAATACGCACATGCTACTGCATGAGCCAATTCTACTGTTTCTTGCCTTGTTTTCGCTCTTTATCGCGGTTATTATCTACGTTCGATTGGACTTTTCCATTGCAAAACCCGAACACTCGAAGAAGGAGTGATGTGAATAGTGGAGCCAATGGAATTTGTTGTCCTAAAACTGACTTTTTCTGTTTAACAGGATTTAGGGGTTGCCTATAGAGTATGTATAGGCATTTTTGTCTAATTTTCACCAAATGTCCCTAATAAATTCAATTTAATTAAAACAATCGTGTTTTCGTACGCAGACCCATCCTTGAAACATTCTTGTTTTTGAGGCCGCAAAACTTCGACGGTGTTTTCCGGCTTAAAACATCCATTTTGCTAAACGCACTGTTTTCGAGAAAATTGATAAAATGTTCATAAAAAAAGTGCTGACAAATCGACGCCTTGGACTTACGCAGAGGACTTTTGCTCATAAGGAGCAGTTGAATGATTTTAGCCGCCTTTGAGGCTCTTGAAATCTTTACATTTCAAGATATGCAGAGTCGGAAAATAAATGCTACAAAATTGGGCGCACAGTTTTATGCAGTGCTTCGTTTCACGCGAAGCATTTGTGTAACACATTTTGAGACCGCAAAACTTTGACTGTGTTTTTCCGATTTAAAAAACGATAGTCTTTCGGACTACTCAGTTAGTTTAGAGTGTTTTTTGCCTCGTGGAAGATTTTTGCTAGACGCACTGTTTTCTAGACAATTGTTAAAATTTTCATAAAAAAAGATACAGACAAATCCACGCTTTGGACTTAGGCAGAGGGCGTTTGCTCATACGGAGCAATTGAATGATTTTAGCCGCTTTTGAGGCTCTTAAAATCTTTACATTCAAAGATATGCCGAGTAGCAAAATAAATGCTACAAAATTGGGCGCACTGTTTTATGCAGTGCTTCGTTTCACGAGAAGCATTTGTGAAAGACACTTTGAGACCGCGAAACTTTGACTGTGTTTTTCCGATTCAAAAAACGATAGTCTTTTGGACTCCTCAGTCAGTGTTTTTTGCCTCTTGGGAGTTTTTCGCTAGACGCACTTTTTTCGAGAAAAGTGTTAAAATATCATCAAATGTTCTTAAAGAAGTGCAAAAATGAAAAAAGTCCTTTGCGGCGAGCGTTTGCTCTAAAGATACAATTGAATGCTTTGGTCTATTTTTGATGCTATAAAAATCTTACAGGGAAATAAATGTAACAAAATAAGTGTTTCGTTATTAACGAAGAACTCGTTTTAGAGACTTCAGCCTTTGAGACCGCAAAACTTTAACTGCGTCTTTTTTCTTTTTACAAAAGCGATAGTTTTTTCAAAAACCCATTAAATCCAGAATATTTCTTGATTGTGCAAAGTTTTTTGTTAAAAGCACTGTTTTCGAAAAAATGTTAAATATCATCAAGTGCATTAAATAGCACGCCTTGTAAAGGATAAATTGAATGCTTCTGATATTTTTTAAATCTTTAAAAATATTTATTTCTGAAGATATACGGATTGTGCGGGAATAAACGCAACAAAATTGGCCACATAAAATTTAATTAAGTGCGCGTTTCTATGCGAAAATCACCCTTTCAACGTATCCGGTTTTTTTAATCAGCAAAACTTTGCCTGAGTTCTCCAGATTCGATAGATCCAGATAAAGCATTTAGTTTAGAATGATTTTTGCCTCTTGACCGTTTTTCGCAAAACCTGTGTGTCCGAGAAAAATGTGATGAAATGCTCAGAAAAATCGTCGTAATTTCGATGTCTAAACAATATTAATTACAATTTCGATTAAAAATTAAGTGCAAAAATTCAGAAAAACAGTTTAAACATAAACATTCTAATGCTTCTGCATTTTCTGTTTAAAAATATGGTAGGAAATCCTTACAAATACCTGCGCAGTCTATCTATCTCTCTCTCTCTCGATCGAAACAATCTGGATTCAAAGAGTGACATTTCTGGCTGTCGCCGAAATCTGTCAACCCTTTTGGACTCAGTGAACTTTCCTGTTTGGAAACTAGGAAAAACTCAAATTGCAGCCCATTTTCATCTGCTAGGAAACTCTAACTTTCACCTGAGTAAGTAGAGCTAGTGACAAGCAATCAGTAGGCGGCTCATTATCCCAAAGCTGCCGCTTATCTAATGCATTGAAGTTATGTAATGTAAACATTGAGGTTATATAGCAATTTTCCTTTGCAAAATTCTGCGATTTCTTCAATTTCCAGCCTCACAATGGCCGCAATGAGATCAGTATCCCGTCTCCTATCCAGCAGGGCTCTGAGCACCACAGTCAAAAGGGGCTATGCTGAGGAAATGAGCTTTACATTCGCCTCAGGAAACCAGGCAAGTTCCACTTGATCTTTTTTGCCTTAACCGACGTTGTCCAGGGGTGTCTTCACTTCGTATTACTTTGCTTTCATCTGCGGTTTGTTTCAGATATTCTACGAAGCTAAAAGTGTGCGGCAAGTGGATGTTCCTTCGTTCTCGGGCAGTTTTGGTATCCTGCCCAAACATGTTCCCACTTTGGCAGTGCTGAAGCCCGGAGTTGTTTCTGTATATGAAAACGAGGGCAATGTGAAGAAGATCTTTGTCTCCAGTGGAACAGTCACCATCAACGAGGACTCTTCAGTACAGGTACTTCGTGATTTATTCAATGTAAGCAGCTCAAGTTACTCAACTGAGTGTTCACATAGATTTTGGCAGAAGAGGCGCATCCAGTAGAAAACATTGATGCTTCCGCTGCCAGGGAATTGCTGACCAAGTCTCAAAGTCAGCTCTCATCAGCTGCCAATGATCAAGTAAGTTGAGTCGGCCGGAAACGCTGCAGTTGCTCATCTCAATGTTTTACAGGCCAAGGCTGAAGCTGAGATTGCCGTTGAGGTGTCCGAAGCCTTAGTGAAGGCCGCTGAGTAGATTTGTGTAAATATGGTTGATTTTTTGTTATTAAATAAGAACAAACGTACGAAAGAGCAGATGAACTAGGGGCTGTCAAGCCATAGATCCGAGGAAATTTGTATCTTTTAAGAAATACATTGCAATAATGTCCAAGACCGATTAATTTTTATTCAGATTGGGTTTTCCTTGTAATCTCCATAATACGAATTAAATGTTTTGTGGGGGAAAGCTGGTAATCATTTGAAGGTTCTACAACATTCAAATGTAATGACGGGAACAGTGAGATTTTCGCCTCAAGACACATAACTCGTTGAGTTGCGAAGCTTTAATTGCCTTTACGAGATGGAGACTTAAAATGCACACCTTTTTATATAAAACATCGTTTTCGAACTGTTTTTAGTTTTCAAGGGAAATGCAAAAATTCAAAATCAAAGCAGGTCTTGCAAACTGTTCTTTGCTTTTTTTTGGTTCATATGTTAAGAACCGGAAGAGTTGCAAAGCTCTAGTTGCCCTCGCGATATGGAGACTGAAAATGCGTATCTTTTTATAAAAAATGTCGTTTTTGAATTGTTTTTAGTTTTCAAGGAAAATGCAAAATTTGAAAATCAAAGCGGGTCTGGCAAAACGCTCTTAGCCTGTGGCTCATATGTAGGGAACCTTAAGGCTGCAAAGCTATCGTTACCCTTGCGCGATGGATACTGAAAATGTGTATCTTTTTATATAAAATATAAAAACGTCGTTTCCGAACAGTTTTTAGATTTCAAGAAAAATGCAAAAAATCAAAATCAAAACGTGTTTCGCAAACCGCTCTTAGCTTTTGGCTCATAGTTAGAGAACCGGAAGAGCTGCCTTTGAATAGAGCCTTCAAATKCGCTCTATTTTRTATAAAACATCGTTTTCAAACTGATTTTAGTTTTCAAGGAAAATGCAAAAATTCAAAATTAAGRCGGGTCTGGCAAATCGCTCTTAGSCTTTCGCTCATATTTAGAGCACCGGAAGAGCTGCAAAGCTATYGTTGCCCTTGCGAGATGAAGACTGAAAATATATATGTTTTTATATAAAACGTCGTTTTCTAACAGTTTTTARGTTTCARRGAAMATGYAAAAATTCAAAATTAAGGCGGGTCTGGSAAACCRCTCTTAGCYTTTCGCTSATATTTAGAGAACCGGAAGAGCTGCAAAGCTCTCGATGCCCTTGCGAGATGAAGACTGAAAATGGGTATCTTTTTATATARAARKTYGTTTTCGAATGGTTTTTAGTTTTCAARGAAAATGCAAAAATTCTAAATCAAAACGSGTTTTGCAAACCGCTCTTAGCTTTTGGCTCATATTTAGAGAACCGGWWGWGCYRMAAGGCTCTARTTKKCATTGCATCGATAGAGCGGTAAATKYTGCACTATTTTATATAAAAYATAAAAACGTCGTTTTCMAACTGTTTTTAGKTTTCAWGGAAAATGCARAAATTCAAAATCAAARCSGGTTTTGCAAACCSCTCTTWGCTTTTGGCTCATATTTAGCGATTAGCGAACCGGWWGAGMYRMAAGGCTYTAMTTKSCATTGMYSGATAGAGCSKTCAAWKKTGCRMTWTTTTTTTATRTAAAASAYCGTTTTCGAACTGTTTTKASKTTTSAAGKAAAATGCAAAAATTCAAAATTAAGGCGGGTCTGGSAAACCGCTCTTAGCCTTTCGCTGATATTTAGAGMACCGGAAGAGCTGCAAAGCTCTCGTTGCCCTTGCGAGATGAAGACTGAAAATGKGTATCTTTTTAYATAAAAMGTCGTTTTCGAACAGTTTTTAGGTTTCAWGGAAAATGCARAAATTCAAAAYCAAARCGGGTTTTGCAAACCGCTCTTWGYTTTTGGCTCATATTTAGMGAACCGGWWGAGMYRCAAAGCTCTARTTKKCATTGMYSGATAGAGCSKTMAAWKKTGCAMTWTTTTATATAAAAMAWCCGTTTTCSAACTGTTTTTAGGTTTCAAGGAAAATGCAAAAATTCAAAACCAAAGCGGGTTTTGCAAACCGCTCTTAGCTTTTGGCTCATATTTAGAGAACCGGAAGAGCWGCAAAGCTCTATATGGCGTTGCTCTAATAGWKCCTTAATTAATAGCKCTAMTTTTTTAAACAGMACATTTTTTYAAAATGCTTTTARTTTTCAAGGAAAATGCAAAATTTCAAAATGAAAGCGGGTTTTTCAATCCGCAYTTAGTCTTTRGCKCGTATGTAGARAACWGGAAGAGCTAAAAAGCTCCAGTTGTCCTTGCGAAACTGCAAACGTTTTTATATGAAACATCGTTCATAGCAAAAAATGTGTTTAGTTGCCAAGAAAAATGCAAAAAATTCAAAATTAAACCGGATTTTGCAAACCGCTCTTAGCC